ACAACTTGGAGGCTGCTCGGTGTGTGCTTCTCGCGCCACACCGCATCCCCCTTAAGGACTTCACGACTTGTCGTAAGAAGCCCGAGACCCGGGGTGGTCTCTATCCTCTTTGGGGATACCCCTGGGCTATGCCCGAGAACTGTCCCACGTGGAGTTCTTGTGAGGATTTCTTTTCCTTTTTTTTCTTTTTCTTATTTTTGTATAAGTGTCTTACATAGTGACCCTCTTAGATTTATAAAAAGGGGTTTTGATAGTGCTTTTGTAAAAATGTCTGCTACCATTTCTTTGGTGTTGCAGTACATAATTTCAAATTCTTTTCGCTCTACTTTTTCTTGTACAAAGTGATACCGAATGTCAATGTGCTTGCTTCTGCCATGCAGTTCTGGGTTGTAGGAAAGTTTAATACAACTTTGATTGTCCTCAAATAGGGTGATAGCATGTGAGCTTTCGTGTTTAAGCTCTACTAAAAGAAGCTTTAAGAAAATAACTTCTTGCATGCAGTGACATAGGGCTATGTATTCTGCCTCTGTTGTGGACAGAACTACGGTGTGGTGCTTTCTCGATTGCCATGAAATTGGGCTTCCACACATATATGCGATATAGCCTCCCACAGATCGTCGTGTCTCTGGGCAATTGGCGTAGTCTGCGTCGGAGTATGCAGTGAGATAATGCTTTGACTTATACTGCTCTAGATTTTGCTTTCCACCAAGGGTGATGCCAAGATTGCGCGTACCGTTTAAGTACTTCAATCCTCTCTTAACGGCATTCCAGTGAGGTTTTCCTGGGTTCACCAGGAATTGACTGACTTCTCGTAGAAAATATGCGAGATCAGGTCTAGTTCCCATCATTAAGTACATGAAGCTACCAACTGCCTCTCTGTACGGGATCGCTTTCATCTCATGTTTTTCTTCTGGCGTTTGGGGGCACATGGCCTCCGTCAGCTTCACACTGGGATCAGCGGGTGTACCAACCGGGTGTGCATCAAGATGAGAGAAGCGATCCAGGACTTTGGTAGCGTACTTCTCTTGGTGGATGAAAATGGTTCGGTCCGTACGGTTGCGCACGATTGACCAGCCTAAGATGTATTGAGCTTCACCGAGATCAGACATTTTGAAGCGCTGCTTGAGAGCGTTCTTTATGTTGTTAATGATATCAAGCGTAGGGGCTATGATGAGGAGGTCGTCCACATAGACTAGAATGTAGCATGTAGCTCCATCCACAACTCCAATGAAAACGCATTGGTCTTTGATGAGTTTGTGGAATTTCATGGTGAGAAGAAAAGAGCACAGGGTAAGATACCAGATCCGAGGTGCCTGCTTGAGACCATATAGGCTCTTCAAAAGCTTGCAGACTAAGTGCTCTTTTTCCACGAACAGTAAACCCTTCAGGTTGCAGCATGTAAATTTCCTCATCGAGGTATCCGTTCAGGAAAGCGGTTTTAACATTCATTTGATGGATCTCAAGGTCAAGGAGTGCTGCAATCGTCAGTAAAAGTCGCAGCACTTCCATGCGGATCACTGGAGAGAATATCTCATCGTAGTCAACGCCATACTTTTGCAAAAAACCTTTTATTACCAGGCGGGCTTTATAGCGGTCAATACTTCCGTCTCCATTGTATTTTACAACGAATACCCATCGACACTGTAGGGCCCTTCTCCCTGTCGGTAGTTTTGTGAGGACCCACGTTTTGTTGTCAATCGATGATTTGTATTCACAAATGGCTGCCTTCTCCCAGTGTTGTGCTTCTGGTAGTTTCTGGGATTCTAGGAACGTCTTTGGTTCAGATATGTGTCTGATAGCCAATAGAGCGTAGATATGAGTGAGGTGCTCTTTTCGTTCGTTAATGTCGAGTGGATCATCAAGTAGACACGAGTGTTCATCCTCGTTCTGAGCGTTCGTTTTGTGTTTGACTTTCTTCATCTTTACTACTACTTCCGCGGCAAGCGCATTGACGCTGCGTTTTAGTAGTGAGGCTATTGGAGGTAGCGATTGTGGTGTTGGTAGCGACGGTGATAGCGTCGGTGCGGGGCCATTTTGGTCCAAGATTGCGGGTGTATTGAGGAATTCCAAGTGTGGGAACTCGTCTTCTCTAAACACAACATCCCTGCTGTAGATAACATGGTTTTCTTTCGTGTCAAGGAGTCTATATCCCTTTTTGTTTGATGGGAGTCCTAAGTACATGCACTTCTTAGCACGTGGTTCTAGTTTTGTGCGGTGTATCTCAGGGATGTGAGCGTACGCAGTACACCCAAACACTTTGATGTAGTGCGCGGATGGTTTTCGCTTGAACCATTTCTCGTATGGGGTGACCTTATCGGTTACCGAGCTGGGAGTAATGTTCAGAAGGTCAGCAACGTGTTTGACGCATTCTCCCCAAAGAACCTGCGGTAGGTTACCATCAATGAGGAAAGCCCTGGCTCGCTCGAGTAGTGTACGCATGCGCCTCTCTGCAACTCCATTTTGCTGGGGCGTGTACGCATTTGTAAATTGTGCGTGCGTATTGTACTTCTGAAAAATCATTTTTCCAAGTTTCTCATATTCTCGGGCATTGTCGCTTTGAAGATGTCTAACTTCTTCATCGTGTATGTTCTCATTGAACTGGAGTTCGCCTACATCAGCGCGAAAAACGTTTTGTGCTTTCTTGCGAAAATCTTCATAGCATTCGTACAGCTCAGACTTTCGCTTGATGATGTAGATGAACATGTACCGTGAGTAGTCATCTATAAAGGTCAGAAAATATTGACACCCCGAGAGTGTGGGGACGGGTAATGGACCAGCCATATCAGAATGAACTTTTTCACGAGGGAACTTTGCCCGTTCAACGGTACGTTTATTGAATGGGTTACGATGGGCCTTGGCGTATGTGCAGGAAGAGCAAAAGTAGTCTTTCTTGGAATCAAAGTCCTTCAGGCCCATGTCCATGACAGTGTTGGCTTTAGCCAGATCCTGCATAATGCGAAAGTTAGGATGACCCATTCGTTTATGCCAAAGTAAAACATTATCAGGCTTACCTGAAGTGGCCACATGGGCTACCTGACTTGAGGGTGCCGGGGCTCGCTTGAAACTGGTAGAGTCGAGTCCCTTCACCAATTTTGGCTTCAAATTTTGGTTCGGCTAGCGAAGAACAGAACGCACTTTCTTGGCGTTGGGGAAAGTTGAATTTTGAAATCATCTTTCGACGGCTTGGCGCACGGAGAGTAGGTTGAACTTCAGCTGGGGCGCATATAGCACGTTGGCCAAGGATATTTCTCGTTCCTTTCCCTTCGTGTCCTTGATTGTCATCTTGACATCACCAGTTCCTTTTATCGGAATCTGGTGATTGCCGCCGACAGTGATTGACTTGCCAGCACTTGGGATCAGCTTCTCAAACCACTTCGGATTGGACGTAACGTGGCGAGTGCAGCCTGAGTCGACAGTCCACACTGGGTCATGCTCCGCATCTTGGGCGGTGAGACTTACAGCCTCTGTTTCTTGTCTGAGGTCCAGAGTGGTGATGGCTATGATTCCATACTCGTTGTCGGAGTCGGTGTCCTTGCGGCGACCGTGGAATTTATTGTGACTCTTGGATTTTTCAGATGTATTCTTCTGGTTGCCGTTCTGGCTTCTGTTTCGATTGCTGTTCCGCTTGCTCTTGTAGTCATTCCGATTTTGGCTTCGTGACTTGCCGCCGAAACCGTCCTTGTAAGGATGCTGTCGAGCTTGATTGGACGAAGGTTTCAGCTTAAAGTTGGCGGGAAGCACCGTTCCTGCCTTTACCTGACCATTTTGTAGGTGGCGCTGTAGAACATAGCAGTCGACAGTATCGTGGTTGGTGCGCAGGCAGTATGTACAGCTCATCGTTGAGATGAGAGCCTTGCTCTCTTGATAGGGAGCTTGAACCAAGGTTGGTTCAGGTGCTAAAGCCTGTAGGGCCTGCTCGTTTCGGGTTTCCGTGTTCCTTGTTTGAGCGTGTAGCGGTTTTTCGCCAGTTCATGCTGCACCTTGGCCTCGATGTGACGCTTTAGCTCTTCGTAGGGAATGAATTTCCTGCTACCCTTCCAGACCGATAGTTGCTGCTTCCATTTTCCAGGTAGCGCATGGTACAAGTAGAGTGACTTCTGTTCGTCACTGAGCACACTGTTTGTGGCTTCGGAGGCAACCTTCATGGCAGATTCGATGTCAATTATGAACCCCGTAAGGTCTGAACCTTCTTCATACCTCAGTGCCATCAGGTATGATAGCACATGATACGGGTCGCCGTGGATGGCAGCACCTTCGTACTTGCTACAGATCGTCTGGAAGATCTCAAACGCAGTAGTCTTGTCCTTGACCATGAGAACATGTTGGTCATCGATGGTCTTGATAAGGAAAGCTTTTGCTTTTGCCTCGTTGAGTCGAAGCTTTTTCGAGCTCAGTTTCTGGCTTTTAGCCCTCAGCTTCTCTGCTCGCTTCAGTTCATCCCGCTTCTGAGCAGTGAATGACTGGATAACGGGGGGATTCTCCTGCCCCATTTCCACATCGCCGTCGTCTCCGGCTGTGGGTGCATCCGAACTTGCGGAGCTGGCATCAGAGGAGGACTCGCTCGGTGAGGAGCCCACTATTTCGTCGGCCTTGGGAGCACCGGCAGCATCAAGCGCGGCGGACATGTCGTTCATGTCGGACAGTGCCGGGTTGAGCTCTTCATCGGAGTCGAACTCGTAGTCGGAGTCACCGGTGTAGTCGATACGCTCGACGTAGCCGAGAAGGTTCTTTCCTTCGAGGGCGGCAGTGACGCGGGTCTTCCAGATGATGAAGTTCCGGCCATTGAGGCGCGGAAACTCGCGGTCGTCAGCGGTGGAGGCTTGCGTTGAGCTCATAACCTATTGAAGGTGAGGCGAGGAAGGTGGAGGAGCTTGAGTAGAAGGAAGAAAAAAGAGATGTGATTGAATTTTATGAGTCTGTCTTCAGAGAGTTTCCTGGCACCATTGATTTATCTTTCCTGTAAAAGGTGATGTATCGACTTATGCAGGATTGGGTCCAGAACATATTTTGTATGGTAAGACATTCTGTACAATAACTTGTACGCTATGTCACCAATTAGGACACATCATTGACAGTATTCGATACGCGCGTAGCATATCGGTGTGTTTCATAACTCAAGTGACGAGATTTCCATCACTCAGCTTTCGAGCACAGTGAATGCAGTCTACCGCCCACAGCCGATGTATAATTTATACGTGTGAGTTGTAAAGCTACAGTACCAAACAGTGGGGAAAAACTAACGAGGGCCCTCCTAGAGAGGGCCCTCACACAAAACGGGCAGAGGTATTACCGTTAGTGCTGCAAATAGACCGCTAGTGACGCAGCCGTTAGTGATGCAAAAAGACCGTTAGTGATGCAAAAAAATCGTTAGTGATGCAATTCACAGCTTGTGACGTAAATAGATCTTCCAAAGTGCTATCTGAACGAAAACAGCTTCAGTCTTCAAATGGCTTCCAACCCAAGACTTGAGTTTCCGCCCGACGGCTATCTAGTGCTGCCCCTCAATCTCACGCAAGCAACTATTTCATGTGTGCTTGGACAAGCAAGACGATCTGATTATATTAGTGTTTTCCGTGAGGTGGGTGGCGAAGAAGACGACACATTCCGAAGCCAATCACGTCAAAATTGTCTTTCGCCACAGATGAAAAAGCTCCACAGGAAAATTGAGGAGGTGGTTACACTAGTTGATGCAAACTTTCGAGCACAAGTTTATTCATTTTTGTACTCGCGCCCTGGTGGGCCTGAGCAAGGACCGCATGCAGACTTCACAAGTAGCGACGTGGAAGCTGTCAAGATGCGTTTTCCCCGCAGCATTCCAGCTAGTGTCGTCGTCGCGCTCGAAAGTGGTACACAATTAAGAGTTTACGCCGGATGTTACACTGTGGCACGCGAGGAGCGATCCCGGTTGGTGGATATCCCTATTGGTTACTGCATTTTTTTCGGGGCGATCTTCTTCACGCTGGAGTAAGCTATTCACAGCACAACTACAGAGTCCACTGCTACTTGCAATTTGAAGGTGTTTCGTGGGTACCTGATATTGTCATGTCTGCTTTAACCTCAAGTTTTACCTGTCAATACTGCGGTTACGCTGATGCATCTTCCAATCGAATGCGTAACCATCGCTACTTTTGCTTATCTAACCCAGTCGGACAACAACACCGGGTGATTCGGCAGCAACTACAGAACGCAAAGGGAACCTACTCGTGTGATCTGTGTCAAAAATCGTTTGCAGTGAAAAGTAGTTTGAGGAGTCACATTAGCCGCAAACACTCTTAACCCAATAGCTCAATATAATTTATATTGTTATTTTTATAATATTTTTTATTCAATTTTCTATAGACTTTGTTGAAGTGTTTTGAACACTTCAACTTGTTTGATATCTTTGCAAAAATTGCACCGCATTTCAGTATCTCGATGTGTATTTTAATAAAGAAAAAAACAGATATACAAATTTAGCGAAGGTGACAGCCTTCTTAACAACTGAAGCCTTGTGCATCCATCAAACAGTGGTAGGTATTGACAGCTCTGTTTTCATCTGTGGCTGCGTATGGAGTGCGCCGGCTCGGTCACACTCATAATTTCGCACCCAAACGTCTCCATCATCGTTGTAGCGTACACGGCGTCGAGATACATTAAAGCCGTGGCTTAAGGTCCATGCATGTACTGCGGCTTCTGCTTCGTCATGAGACGAGTAGTTGGCTTCAGGTGGAGGTGGAATTAAAAAGAGCGGGGGTTTCTCCTTCTCCATTGTACGGTAACTTGGTTTGTGGTACTCGCTACTGAGCTCCTGTACACGCCAGCCATTCGGCGTGTGGTGCACATATTCGGTGGCACATCATTATTGCTATCCGTATTCGATACCTGGTTAGCAGTACACTATCGGTGTGTTTCATAACTCAAGTGACGAGATTTCCATCACTCAGCTTTCGAGCACAGCGAAGCCAGTCTACCGCCCACAGCCGATGTATAATTTATACGTGTGAGTTGTAAAGCTACAGTACCTAACAGTGTTTGGCAATCATTTGGTCCGCTGAAAAGGCTGAGCTGCAACGAAGATGCAACGGAGAAGGCTTTGCTGTCGCTGTGCCCGGTGGTGGAACTTTCGTTTGCAGGCTGCGCTCGCCCTGTCAAAGGTGCTGTCGCGAATTGCCGTGGGTGCTGAAACGCCAACGTCCCCGTTTGGTGTCCCAGCAAAGCTCTTGCAAGTTACAGCCTCGAAGTTCGAGTCGAACCCATCGATCGGTGACTGAACTCCTCGGCGAAATGATCCTGGTAACGACAAAAAATGGCGACTGCTGGCTTAAGGGAGCAATCTTTAGCGCGAGACAAGGAATCCAAGCGGGCAAGTTGGTGCTCAAGACCCTTGAGTCAAGAGTGCCGGCAACCGGCAGTAGATTCTTGTTTTGAAAAGTCAAAATTGCAAACCGCAACTGCCGTAATCGAAAACCCTCCGGTATCGCAGACCGGAGGCATGAAACTGGTCTCATTCAGCTCAGGATCACCACCATCGTGCCCTTGTTTTAATGGCCGTCGTTCGTTGGCTGAAACGAGCGACCACAGTCTGCTGCTTCGGTCGCGTCGAAAGTATCTCCTCTCCATGTTCGACAGCATGGTTGCACTCCGCCAGCGATGGCCTGCATAAGCGCGATAGAGCGAGTCAAGTCGGAAGGTTTTTGCACCGTAGCAAGACGGGCCACGCCGTTATACACAATATTTCCGGTCGTAAAATCTCAAATTCAACCGCCCTATCCAGTTCGTATATCATAAATGTATAGAAATTAAAATGCTTACAAAATGCAAGCGAAACCAAAATTGCATGTCCAAAGCGTGACCAATTCACATTTACGTATATACCCTTTGACCAAATACAAACCTGAATAAACTATGCCACCCGATACATCGCGTATACTCCAACATTACGGCCCTTCCGTGCTTCATTCTGTTTCCCACGACACCAGCAACAAGCGCGCGACGGGCACGTCAGCTCAGCATCGACGCTCTCTGCAGGACTTCTCCGCTCGACGATCCAGTGACTCTAAATCTGCAGCAGCAATGGGCACGCGGCCCGTGAGCGAAGATGGCGGCGGCGGCGTCAGTAAGGCCCGCAACCAGGCCTCCAGCTCCAGCTCTTCTAACCCCAGTAGCAGCGGAAGCGCCTCCAAACCCGCCCCGGCCCCCGTGTCCAACAGCTCGCCCGTCCATCTGCAGCGTCTAGGGAGCAATCAGAACGACCCGCGTCCTCCAAGCAGCAGCAAGTCCGCTGGTGCGCTGCAGCGCAGGCCTGACAGCGAGACAAACTTCCATACGTCCTCGTCTGTGAGTACGGGACGCGTCGCTAGTGCGCGTGTGGGCGGTCGTCGACGCGCCGAGACGGACAACCACACGCGCTCATCGCTGCCTCCGACACTCTCGAGTGACGTGGTACTGGACCGTCGACTGCTGCACAAGTACGAACAGGTGAACCAGGAGATCGAGCGCATCGTGCGCGCGTCACAGATGGACCAGCAGCTCGGCGGCGTTGGCGACGCTGCTAGCGTTAAGAACGAGTTGCGTCAAGCCAAGAAGAGCTCGGCCCAGATGATCCACGCGCAGAAGGAGCTGCTGGACAAGATGGAGAAGCAGGAACGTGGCGGGTTCCGTCGCGTCTTCACCATCAATAAAGCTGCCAAGATGGCCAAGTTGCGCACCAAACTCTGCGAGAAACTCAGCGAGTCGGTCTTAGTGGACGAAGAGCTACTGCGACTTGAGAGACAGAGCACTGCCATGTCCGCCACGACGCTGGGGACGATCACGCGGAACGGTACGGCAGTCGTTAACGTCAGTAACGTACACGGAGTAGCAGGCAACTTTGCCAATACCGGTACCAGCGTTGTCAGTATGAGTGCGACTGGACTAAGCGGCTTAGAGGAAGCTCGCGACGTCAGCGGCAGTGAGAGCAGTGGCCCCGTGCCGACGATGAGGCTGAGTTCGGGCTGGGAAGACGCGCAGGAAGAGCTGCTGATGCTCGAGCGAGAAAAGGAAGATATCCTTAATAACCTGTTCCAGACTGTAGACATGCCTGCCGTCCTGGACTTGCACGCGCGTATTGCGAGTTTTTCCAGCGAGATCAAGGCTGTGGCAAGTGTCAAGAAGCAGGCGGACCGTGTCGAGGAAATGTACCGTAAGGCTCTACATTTATTACGTGTGGCGCTAGCTGCAGTCGTGTCACCGAACTACTCTGGTAGCATTCGTGAGTTCGCTTTCAACTCGTATCCTTTGGCCGTGGAGGCCGGACATCTGATTGAGCAAACCTGTCACGCGATTCAGCCAGAAGCACGACGTAAATACGAGGCTTTTGCCTCGGAGTTGACTCATGTACGCCCACCCAAGTTTCCTCAGCCTGTGTCGGACTTTGCTCGCCGCTCACGGACACATTACGACCCGCACAGCGCGCTCTCGATCGAAGGGATGCGCAACCTGCACGCGGCTGAAAATGTCCTCATTTTGATGCAACGACTGGTTATCCAGAAGCTCGAGGGCATCGAGAAGTGGCAGGCGAAGCTTACGAAGGACCAGGAGGCCGCTGAAAGCTCCCACGCGCAGATGGAGACCAAACTGCAGGAGCAAGTGGCTGTGCTCGCGCGTTCCGTGTCGGTCTGAGTGACGTCTGTAGCCTTTTATCTGTGGAGAAATGGTGCGTGTGCTTTTTGGCTTTTGATATACAAACAGTATCGGATCGGTGAGCAGGAGAGCGAGAGAAGTGAGAAGGTCGGCCTTCTGAGGACATTTTCGATGGCAGAAAGTGAAGGGATACAGGTGGAGAATTGGGTGTCGGAGTCGCGAGGCGGGCAAAGATTCGAGTAGCGGCGCGTCAATATATTTATTCGCCGCTGTTTGTCGATGAGTTTGGTTGTTTTGGCATTCGTGCTTGACTGGTTGCAGGTGAGCTGGAGATTGGGCCAAGATACACTGATGCCGTTGGGATCTGGTCAGGATACACGAGGATTCAGGACGGAGATGCCGATGACAGGCCAGCAAGTGGGAGATTGTGTCGATGATAAAAGCGAACGTGTCGACAGCCTCTGCGGCCTCTGTGGTACCAAGCTTCAGTCGGTCAGACGCCTTTTCATCAAGATCGCCAGGACAACGTAGTACTTGTACAGTACAAGTTGTACTCTTTTAGCGAGGAGTCTGTCGTGCGCGACCAAGGGTTTCAAGGCAGGCTGCTTCTTGCATGAGGCACCTGACCATTGGTGACTAGTAGTCACTGACTACGACATCGCAGTGCTAGTCAGAGAGACATGTCATCACCGCTGTCCAATTCGTCGTGAATCTGACAGATCCTACCTAACGCCCTACTTGCAAAAACCACAGTCAAATTTCCATTAAAATTGAAGGACAAAATGGCATGGTAACAGTGAATACAGGTCTCCCCAATGCTCTAAAGTAGAATTTTTCTCGTTACGGACTCTCCAGCCTCTCTGGTTCTTCGTCTGAGAGTGATTCGTCGGTAAGCGAGTTGCTGTCCTTCTTCGGCAGGACTCGGTTCTTCCACCTTCGTTGAGGCTGAGTGGCGTCCGTCACTCCGCGACACATGACGCATTCGCATTGCCGGGTCTTATCCTGCAGCACCACATACGGAGACACCTCGACGTACTTAAAGTAGTTCTGGAACTCTATCGCAGATAAGACGCATAAGCACACGGTCGTCTAGCGCATGTAGCTCGTAACTCCTGTCAGCTGCATAAACTTACCAGCATAGTCGAGTTTCCAGCGGATGGAGCAGCAGCCACGTTCACACATCCATAACTTGGTGTCGTTCTTGGAGCGATAACCAGCACACTCGTTCTGGTTTTTATACGGTCGGCGAATTGGCTGATGGAAGATGATACCCTGGTCACCAGAGGAAAAATAGTATCATGCTGCTTCAGCACGGTACCTGATGCCCCCAGGCGTCGTAGTACTCGAGACTGCTGGTGTTAGCACAAGAGCTCTGACAAACTCCCATGGCTGAGACGAGTTGACGTGCGTAGGAGCTTCCGAATCGGAAAATGGAGGCTTTGGAGCGAGTACTATCGTTGTAGCTGGTGTTCGAAATTTCGTTCGCTCGCTGCTGCGATCTTTAAAAGGAGCGCTCCTTCGCAGATCGTCCTTCTTCTCTGTACAGCCAACGATGAGAGAACCAGATAACGAGTAACGCTTGAACCGAGGTGCAGATTTATGATTCAATTCGGGAAAGCCATCTGCATTGTTTGGAGCAATTGCACATTGCTTCTCCGTGATGCCCCACCTCCCAGACTCAATGAGGTGCTCCAATAGAGCAGCGTACGCTTCATGGATGAAGGGCATATCCGTTGATCTTGAGGAGTGAGCTGAAGCTGCCATTAGAAATGGCTACATTTTCAGCATGACCAATCCAAAGCGTCATTCCACTCGGATTGGTTGAAAACCTCCTGCAAATTCATACTTTGTCGCCATGATGGAGCAGCGCGCGGCGGCGAGCGTCCGCGCTTCCATGGACTTCAACGGGCCGCTTAATGCGCTGTCTACGTCTCCAAACAACCGCCTGATAGCAGTAGGCGGTAGAGACGGTGAGATGCGATCGTAATGTCTCTGTCTATTGCCTCAGTCGCTCACTATCTAATTAGTGCTCAAGGTGGTGGCGCTTGAAGCCTCGGGATTCACGGAGAAGCGGAACCTGCGCGTTGTGGGCAAGCCCAGTCTTAATTTCAGCACCAACGACATCCGCTGGCACCCACGTAAGTCTCCACGTTTGCAGTGGACGGTGGGTGTACTTAAATTAACACAATTTTGTGACCAGACTCGGACTATTTACTGGCCACGGCGGCCACGAACGGTGCCGTGGTGATCTGGAACTTGGAGCGAGACGGATACAAACACGTTCAAGGTGAGAGATCAGGAAGACACGTTATATGGTGGGGAGGTCTCGTGATTCTACGTTAAAGTTATGGGTTTGCTCTGATTATACCAGAGCGAGTGTTCAATGGACATCGACGTGCGGTGAATCGCATTTGCTGGCACACGTCGGACTGGAACGTGCTCATTAGTGGCTCGCAGGACGGCACTGTGAAGTTGTGGGTAAGATATATGTTTTTATTATTTTCTTGCCACATAGTCTTTTTTACAATAAAGCGTTGCAGGATAAGCGTGGTGGGAAGGTCGTGTCGACATATCAGCCAAAGTCCGAAAGTGTACGCGACGTGCGTGCCAGTCCGTTCCATTCCAACAAATTCGCTGCTGCATTTGAGAACGGCATTGTTCAGGTGTGGGATATGCGCAAGAATTCACAGGCAGAACTCAAGTTTACAGCACACAAAGGCTTGGTGTTAAGTATTGACTGGCACCCGACGGACGCCAACGTTTTGGCTTCTGGTGGACGCGATCGCTATGTGAAAATCTGGGAGTTGGGGGATGTCCGACAGCCCAAACAAACGATCCAGACCATCGCGAGTGTGGGGCGAGTAGCCTGGCGACCAACTTGCGTCACGCATATCGCTACGAGCGCGTCGCTTATGGACAATAGCATCCACGTGTGGGACACCAAGCGGCCATTCATCCCTGCAGCATCCATGAAAGGCCATTCGGACATTGCATCGGGCATTTCGTGGATGGATACACCCGTGTCACCGAATTTCGGCCAACCAGAGATTCCCGGAGATTGGGAAGGTCACGACTACTGGCAACACATGTTGGCATGCTCGAAGGATGGCACTCTCAAGTTGCATTCGCTTGCGGACTCATTTAAACCGCATCAATCATTACCGACTACAGCTCTGGCGCTCAATTCTAAGGGACGGGTCGCGTTTTCCCACGACTACATCGGTACGATATTATTATTTTACTTTGTAAGGCTCATGTCCTTATTTTATTGTTATTTGTTGTAGATCGATCGTGTGCATCTCTGAAGATTCATCGTCACTTTAGCTTGGGAAGTTCGCTGTTTACAGTCGCAGGGATGTCATCTTCCTCTCCAAGTCTCGGTCCCTCGAATGGTGATCGGAAACTGGGTGGGCCACTGACGATGTCGCTAAGTCCGTACCACGGCAGCGTCGATAGTCCGGATGATGTTAACATTGGAGCAACTCACGAACACTCAGTGTCACGCACTGCATCGTGGTCGTTCAGCGGATCTCAGCAGCCTCCTCTTGTGCCCAAAGGATTGAACAGATCGTCGGGTAGTAGTGCGAATCTGACAAGCTTATCCAGCGGAGCATCGTCCATGGGAACGAGTTTCAAGTCGGCAGGAGGAAGCAGCAGTCTCAACGCAGTAAGCGGCTTGGGATCAGGTGGAATCGCCCGAGCATCAGGCCCTGCGTCTTCTTCTCAGCCGAACATATTGTCACTGCAGGGAAACAGTAGTGCAGCTGGAGGAAACGTGCATTCCGACGGGAACTTTGTGTCTGTATCCAACGCCTCAGCCTCGTTAGCGTCTGCATCTCCTCGAACGCCAATGATGTCTGGCTCAAATGTTCCACGTGCGCTAGTGGCGCTTGTGACGATGCAGAACGTGAATAACTCGCTCCAACTGGAGAGGATATTCTTGGGTGATGAAAGCGAGTACGTGCACGCAGGGAAGCAAGTCGAAGCCATGCGCGCTCAGTTCGAGCAAGGCCAGTACTTGAAGGAATCATTCGGGTTTGACGAGCACACGTTCCGGTTCTTAGCCAAGCACTACATGTTATTCCCCGAACGTGCCAGCAATAATTCAGGTACAGTGAGCTTTGCGCAAATGTGTGCGCACAACGCGTTGGCATCATTTGTCACGGGCAATTCGCACTTGTGTCAGATGTGGCGTATCCTGGAGGTTCTGTACACGAACGAGGAAGCAGATACCGCAAAAAATAAGCGCAATGGAGGTAAATTGAAGCCTGACAATGATTATACTGTCGAGGACGGTCGGGAGCTGGACGAAGAAACTCGTGAGCGTTCACGAAGTGACAGTAACCACGACGACCAAGCGGATGACTATGCGCAGAGAGACGACAGACATGACAGCGGAGAGTTCAGTCATGATGGACACAGTCACACGACTCACGGGCATAAGAACGCGAGCGAGACGACGATGCTGTTGGAGCAACTTGACCACGTTAATCCACAAGCCATGGAAGGATTCGACCCGTATCCTTATGATCCTACGGGAAGACATGCCAACGAGAACGGACGAGAAGCTGGAGATCGCAGTGGAACGTCTGGAGTGACCAATGTACGTGGGAACTCATCGATGATCATGAATGGGAGTGCCGTCATGGGTGATCTGGGTCATCTACGCGATGACGTGCTAAAGGAAGTATTGGAATATTACACGGAGATCGGAGATCTCCAGTCGTGTGTCGCTATTACCGTTGTCGTGGGGAAGGTGACAAGTGTCGAGAAAGTCATGGGCAAGGCCTGGCTGCAACACATTTACATGCACTACATCGACCTTCTTCATCAGCTTCAGATCTACACGACAGCAAACGAATTGGTCGTAAATTGCTCGGACCAGTCCATCCGACAAATGAATATGGTACGTCATCAGCCTTGTCCTTAAGACACTACTGTGGTACCGACACTGATTTTTGCTTGTAGAAATCCACGAGCGTCTATTTCAACTGTGCGCGATGCTCCAAACCGCTCGAGTCTTCTGGTCCCAGCGAACTTGGCGTGCCAGTCTCACTCTGTACAAGTTGCAGCAATGCTGCCACGCTCTGCTCTATCTGGTACGCCACCTTTGGATCGCATTACCGACGCTGCAGGTGTTTACTAATTTTCTCACTGTTTTGCAGCCAATTGCCAGTCCGAGGTCTCTACGTTTGGTGTCCTGTGTGTGCACATGGCGGTCACTTGGATCACCTGACAGAATGGTTCGCCCACGAGACAGTTTGCCCCACTGGCTGCTCTCACCACTGCTCGTTAAACTTCATCGACGCTGGGATGTGAAAGTAAGGAGACCGGTTGGTTGTCTATTAAGTGCTGTAGAAATACCACACTACGATCGAGACACAAATGATCGCCGTGGTGGAGATTAACACATACATTTTGTCGTCGAAGAAGCTCACAGTTGCGTCGAACACCGCCGACGAGTTTGCAGCTGACACGTTCGTTTCTAGTGGTCTTTCCAGTCCAAGAAACCTTTCAAACAAGGTGTTCTGCAACCACCTTCGAGTGGCTAGTCTAGCCATTGCGAATCGAATTGCCAACTGCGTTTCTGCAGCTCCATGTGAAAGCTCCAATACACGATCATAATATCGTTGCGCACGCTCCAGATTAGCTTCGACACCGTCGCCGAACTCGTACATTTGCCCGACATTAAAGGCTCCGACAGCAACACCCTCGGCACTTGCGCGACTGTACCATCGAAGCGCAGTCTTTGGACTCTTACGCAACCCAGCAAGTCCATAGTAGTGATAGTCTCCGATCCGTACAAGAGTTTCTCTGTCTCCGTTTTCCGTATTCGTCAGTAGCAAGTACTTCAGAGCTCGACGCTCACTTGTCTCGTCTCCTAGTTGCAGAAGACGCTGGTCGTAGAGGAAGGCCAGATTACTCAACGCTACGGAATACCCAAGCTCGCGTGCTTCATGGTACGCAACAACAGCTCGCGCATACTCACCGTCACTGTACAGATCAAAACCCTCTCTCACCACACGCCCCCACTGTCCTCCATCAGACGCCGCTTTCAAGTATTCCACTGCTCGTTCACTATTACGTGGCACTACTCCAGACTCTCCAGTGAGTAATATCCTTCCCATTTCAAAGATGGCGTCGAAGTGTCCAAATTCTCTGGCTGCCATATGGTAAAACTCCATGGCACGACTGATGTTTACACTTGTTCCAAGCCCCTTGGCGTGACAATATCCCGCGTTAAAGATACTGTCGCCGTCTTCTTTGTTGAATGCAGCACGTTCGAAGAGTTCAAGAGCAAGTGTCTTGTTCTCAAGAACGCCTCCGCTACCGTGGAAATGGACAAAACCTAAGCCATTCAGTGCGCGCGTATGGTTCTTCTCGGACGCTTTCTCGTACCATTCGATCGCCGTGACATTGTCTTGAGCAGTTCCTTCTCCTTTCAAAAGCATACCTGCTACAGCTGATTGCGCGTTTACATTTCCTGCTTCAGCTGCTCGATTAAAGTAATTGTATGCCTGCGTGTGGTCTCGCGGCACTCCGTGGGCACCCCAATAGTACAGATCTCCCATCGCTGCCATCGCCTCCACGTCGCCATTGTCTGCACGTAGTTTTTGGAATTGAATTAACTCGTCATCGTCGCCTCGCTCACCCACAGTGATGTCTCTCTCGAAAGAATCATACAATCGTGTCATCTCGTGCAATGGCTGCTTTCCAAGCTCATGGAACGCGTTTGCCGCTTCCACAGCTGCGTGGTAATAGTGATACGCTGCAATTTCCACATTAGAAGCACGATATCGACGTCCGAGTATAGCGAACGCATCTTTCTCACCACTAGCAGCAGCAAAGTGAACCAGACCTGTTGTCAGCAAGTCGAGTCGACTTTTTGACGTTCCTACATCGCAGTTTACTGCTAGCAGGAGCGCTAGAGGCTTGCCCGTACTGTAAATCCCGCTACCGAAAGCTCTAAGGAGATATTGTTCCGCAAGTGTCAAGTTTTGACGAATGGAGTCTGGTGCTGGGCAGTGATGAAGAAATGAGGTTGTTCCATACAAATATGCTTTCCCCACGTCACAACACGCAGCTGGGTGTCCGAGGTCTGCAGCTTCAACTAGGAATTCCCACGCACCCGGATTGCATGATCCCCACGCTGTGACGGATCTGTCAAACGCAGCTGTTTGAATCTCCACGAAAGCGAGAGAAGTATCATCGCTACTGACGCCCATGTTGTCAAAATCCTCGGTATTGTTTTCTCCAGACTCGAAGCAATGTGATAAGTAGGAAATTTGCATTGCCGGTTCTTTCATCTCGTCAATAAAGTATGAATCTTCACTGCACTCCACGTAGGTTTTGTGCTGATGTTTCTCCGAGAAGTAGAGCTTGCGATGTTCTTCTGAAGAAATAGGAGCGGAAAAGACTCTCACATTGCTGGTAAACCCTTTCATTCCGTCTGTCCACGGCCCCTTGCCAATATGCAAAGGACCCGAGTTCGCAGCTACCGGTTCATGGACACGCACCTCTGCGTCGAGTAACCCGTTGACGTAAAAAGAATACGAATAATCCCACCTTTTAGTTGGTTCGTTATGTGCACACGCATCGTATGCGTCCCCTTGAGAGCAGTTCACAAATGTAAACCCCAGGTGAACCCATTCATGCAATGGAAGCTCGGCGTGACTGTCCATTCCAACGTCATTGCTGGTATTTGTGCTTACCCGCAGCACAAGTCGACGCTCGTCTGGTTTCCACCAAGCCGACGGAGTTCGCTGTTGATTCTCGCCATCTCCATTAAAAGAACAAGGGTTTGAAAACTACCCGGTAGAATCCTTCGGTTAAAAACACCCAAAAAGCTAAAGCTCCAGGGAGTCTTGGTG